TCACTTAGTGATTTTCACACCTCAATGACTCTCCAACAATTAAAATAATGATCCAGCACAGAGCACTCTGAAGGGCATGGGTGGATTTACATGTTATGATTGTGTGTGCCTGCGAGATGTGGGTGTCCCTGATGTCAAAAAAAAGAGGATGTAATCATAAATTTGACATCAGGTCATTAATGTCAGAATCAACAACTGAAAATCTATTAAACAACACATAGTTGAGCAAGTAGATGCAGCCTTCATACATGTAGGCTTAGCGCGATAACAAACCAATGCGATGCACATCTTATCCAAACATGCACATTTTTGTCAGAAAGAATTGAAGTTCTAAAACAAATGATAATTTCATACATTTACAAATTATATTTTGAATTTTGGGGAGAGAAAATATGCAACAAGAGGCTTTAAAACATGAGCAAATGACGCCTCTGCGGTAGGAGATGCCTTACTGGCATTGATTTCAGCTCATTACGTTCTTGGGACTCACAGCCACAAATCCAGAGAAATCATTTTGCTAGGGGGGAGTGCGGCTGGGCAAATTGGCTTCTGGTTCTGTGTGGGAGCCCTCGCTGTGAAGAGCAAAAGAGCAGGGCCCGGTCGGGAGTGGGCAGGCCCAGGCAGGACCGGCTGGGGCTTCACGCTGTGACCACCTCCTCACTGGATGTTACATGAAAATCTGCTAAATGACTAACAATATTTACCAGACTTTACTGAGCTGTTTAGATTTAGGATTAGGAAGACGATTACAATTTCATGTATGCAAAACAATGCTCTGCCTCATATATACAGTGGTGTGAAAAAGTTTTTGCCCCCTTCCTGGTTTTTTTATAGTTTGCATATTTGTCACACTTAAAAGATTCAGATCATCAAACAAATTTTAATATTACACAAAGATAACCTGAGTAAATACAAACTGCAGTTTTGAAATTATGATTTCATTTATTAAGGGAAAAAAGCTGTCCAAACCTGCCTGGCACTACGTGAAAAAGTAATTGCCCCCTAAATCTAATAACTGGTTGTGCCACCCCTTTGCAGCAACAACTGCAATCAAGCATTTGCGATAAATGGCAATGAGTCTTTCACAGGAATTTTGGCCCACTCTTCTTTGCAGAATTGTTTTCATTCAGCCACATTGGAGGGTTTTTCAGTATGAATGGACTGTTTAAAGTCATGCCACAGCATCTCAATCGGATTTAAGTCCGGACTTTGACTTGGCCACTCCAAAACCTTAATTTTGTTTTTCTTGAGCCATTCAAAGGTGGACTTGCTGGTGTGTTTTGGATCATTGTCCTGCTGCATAAACCAAGTGCGCTTGAGCTTGAGGTCACAAACTGACAGCCGGACATTCTCCTTCAGGATTTTCTGATAGAGAGCAGAATTCATGGTTCCATCAATTATGGCAAGTCACCCAGGTCCTGAAGCTGCAAAGCAGCCCCAGACCATCACACTACCACCACCATGTTTGACTGTTGGTATGATGTTCTTTTTATGAAATGCTGTGTTGGTTTTACGCCAGATGTAACGGGACACACACCTTCCAAAAAGTTCAACTTTTGTCTCATCAGTCCACAGAATATTTGCCCAAAAGTCTTGGGGATAAACAAGATATTTTTTGGCAAATGTGAGACAAGCCTTTGTGTTCTTTTTGGTCAGCAATGGCTTTTGCCTTGGAACTCTCCCATGGATGCCGTTTTTGCCCAGTCTCTTTCTTATTGTTGAATCATGAACACTGACCTTAATTGAGGCAAGTGAGGCCTGCAGTTCTTTAGATATTGTTCTGGGTATTTTTATGACCTCCTGGATGAGTCGTCGTTGCGCTCTTGGAGTAATTTTGGTAGGCCGGCCACTCCTGGGAAGGTTCACCACTGTTCCAAGCTTTCTCCATTTGTGGATAATGGCTCTGACCGTGGTTCGCTGGAGTCCCAAAGCCTTAGAAATGGCTTCATAACCCTTTCCAGGCTGATACATGTCAACTATTTTGTTTCTCATCTGTTCTTGAATTTCTTTAGATCGCGGCATGATGTGTTGCTCTTTAAGCATGCTTCACTTTGTCAGACAGGTTCTATTTAAGTGATTTCTTGATTCAACAGGTCTGGCAGTAATCAGGCCTGCGTGTGGCTAGTGAAATTTAACTCAGCTTTCTAAAATAATGTGGTTAATCACAGTTCTTTCATGATTTAAGAGGAGGGGCAAATAATTTTTCACGTAGGGCCAGGTAGGTTTGGACAGCTTTTTTCCCTTAATAAATGAAATTATCATTTAAAAACTGCATTTTGTATTTACTTGCATTATCTTTGCGTAATATTAAAATTGGTTTGATGATCTGAATCTTTTAAGTGTGACAAATATGCAAAAAATTAAAAAAAACAGGAAGGGGGCAAAAACCTTTTCACGGCACTGTATAATAACTGTTTTCTATTTAATACATTTAAAAATGTAATTTATTCCCGTGATGGCAAAATTGCATTTTCAGCAGCCATTACTTCAGTTTTCAGTGTCACATGATCCTTCAGAAATCATTCTTAATGAGCTGATTTGCTGCTCAAGTAACATTTCTTGTTATTGTCACAGTTTGTAACAGTTGTGCAATATTTTTGTGGAAACCAGTTTAATTCAGGATCTGTAGAAAGTTTAAAAGAACAGCATTTATTTTAATTTCTTTTCTTCTTACAATGTAAATGTCTTTACTGTCACATTTATTTGAATATACAGTGCCGTGAAAAGGTTTTTGCCCCTTCCTGTTTTTTTTATTTTTTGCATATGTCACACTTAAACGATTCAGATCATCAAACCAATTTTAATATTACGCAAAGATAATGCAAGTAAATACAAAATGCA